GAGGAATCGGAGAGCCGATTTTATAGATTCGTTTCCTGTCGGAGGACGCATATTTTCTATGAAAATTTCTCGGACATTCAGGCCGGTAAATGTTGTTAATACTATTTATTATAAACAGAGCATTTACCTTAAATATTTGTATCTATAAAAAGAACGTATAAACATAAAAATGTCTTAAAAATAATTGTCGGACTTTGTCCATTTCATAATATATATATATATATATATATATATATATATATATATATATATATATATATATATATATGAAGTTGTTCATATACTCGACAGTTCAGAAGTTTGAAGCCACCATCAGAATTAGCATGGAATGAACTTAACAGAAGAGTGAAAAATATTCAAAATAGCTCTTAGAGTCGCTAAGAAAAAAAAGAAAAGAAAATGGAATCACTTATCAAACTTACATTTACATTTCTACGGGAGCAAATCTTAATCAAAACATGCTTTTTTTCTTTTTGTTATAATAAAATTTCCAATAAAAATCATGTCTCACTTTCTTTGTTAACCATGTGTAATAATTGTCTCTTATTTAAAGTACAAAACAACTACTTTTTTGCCAATTTAAAAAAAATACCAGGGCTTTCTTCAGACTTTTGAGCTGTAGTGTATATACCCTGATAATAGATATTGAATTGTTCGCACTTCACGTCCTCCATAGCTTGCCTGATTTTTCAGCTAACTTGATGAATATTTATGAGGATTCTTAAATGTAAAAGTTTCGAAAACTTAAGAGTTTTTCTCTGGTATATAAATACTTGTTAGCAAATAAAATACTTGCATTTGCCTTGATAAAGTCCCTTAGAGGACGAAACGTTTTGGTTGAGTTCTTATTTTGTCTCTAATCATATTGTCTTTATACAATCTGAAATTTTTGCACATTAAAATATCCTCTTTGTTAATTTCATATCAAACCCTTACCGAATTTTGTTCCCAAGTACGTGACGCACCCTGTGTATGCCCAGGAAAATAGTATCAGGTTGTTCGGAAAATAATGTCCGATTTTAGAATAAACGTTTTAATTGTGTTCTAATATAATATTATAATAGTTGCACAAAAATATCTGACTCATTCTTAATGATTAAAGAATCCTCTTTGTTAATTTTATATCAATTTCATTCAGAATTCATCTTCAACTATTATACACATCTTATATTGAGAAGAAAAACAAAGAGATGTGTTTACTTTTTTGGCATCAGTTCGATCATAACGTTTCTCAAACTGCTGCCAACTTTAACAGAATATGGGATGAAGGATCCGCCTCTGATCGAAGAGTAAGGCGCTGGTTTGTGAAGTTCCGCAGTGGGGATACGAGTCTTAAAGATAAAGGAGCCAGGGGAAGTCTATCTGCAATTGGCAATAAAAATCTGAAAGCAGAAATCGAAAAAAAAAAAACAAAAAAAAAAAAACAACGTCAAAGTGACAGCATCTCTCAGATAATAGTGTCAGCATTTCCAATATCGGAATATCTCAAGACAATTGGCAAAGGGAAGAAACTCGATAAATGGTTTCCGCAGGAATTCAGTGGAAGTGAAAAATTTCGAAGCTTTTTAAGTGTGTTCGATGCTGCATCTACCAAAATTCGAATGACCCATTTCTTGATCGAATAGTGATTTGTGATGAGAAATCGATCATTTAGACAATCGTAAACGATCTGACAGTGGTTCTATTATGACGAAGGACTCAATCACTTTCGAACATCGAAATGGCAACAACAGAAGATTATAGTGACTGTCTGTTGGTCTGCTATTAGCGTTAATCTTTATAGCTTTCAGGAATCTAACCAGAAGCATCACAGAGGTAGTTTACTGCCAGCGATTGGATGAAATGCACATTCAGTTAAGCAAAAGACGACCGGGACTGTTTAATCGGCAATGTCCAATTCTGCTTCAGGAAAATGCTCAGCCACATATTGACAGGATGAGACTGAGGAAATTCAACAACTTGGGATACGAGACTTTGCCACACCCAACCTAAACGCCCCCTCGATCCATCGCCCACTGACTACCACTTCTGCAAGAATCTTGAAAATGTTTGAAACCCAAAGACATTCCGTTGCAAAAAACATGCAGACACTGTATTTAAAGATTTCTTGGCATCTAAACATGTAGAGTCTCATCGCAAACGCATAAATAACCTTGTAACTCGATGGCAGAAGCGTATATATGTTCAGGGTAACTATTTTGACTGATCTAAAAAGTATTTAAATACATTCATTCTGTAATAAAAATTTCATTCGAAAACTGAACATTATTTTTCGAAACGAGAGACGCTGGGAAATTAAAATTTAGAATTTTTTTTTTTTAATGTGTCTTGGGTACTTCTAAATTTAAAATTCCCAGCATCCCTTGTTCTTGCGCATGTGCAATCGCATTAATGTAAACAAACCCAGTCCTATGATGCCCTAAAGTAAACGGGTCACACGAAAACTTTTTCCACTTTGTCTCATACATCTTTCCACTATATATATATATATATATATATATATATTTAAACAAAAATGAAGAGGGAATGTTGGAACGCCATTAAAAAATTCTATTGGACAGCATTTGCTCGACAACCATGATTGTGTCGCTGATTATGAAGACACTTGGTCTTCAATTTTACACAGTGCTCGCTTGGTGTACCATCTCCGAGTCCTGGAGGCTGTATTTATAAAATTTCATCAGCCCAGCCTGTGCAGACAAAAGGAACATTTTATACGCTCCTTACGCTTGTTGGAGGGACTGTGAGTGTCTTTTTTTCCTTTTTATACTATTGTGGAATTTGTTATTTTCATCCCCTTTTGAATTTTAATTATTTGTAATTAAAATTTATTTCTTTTTTAATCGCATACCAACTTTCCCGCCTCATTCCTTATATTGAGTGTGTCTTTGATTGTTTTCCAATTTGCCAAAGTATACCTTTGAAAAAGTGTTGGTCGAAAGGTACCTAAGGCATAACATAATGATGATATACGATATATATTATAAACATACCTAATGTTATATATATATATATATATATATATATATGTGTGTGTGTGTGTGTGTGTGTGAAAAGTGTATATAAATATAAATAAATATATATGTATAATTATTTATATATTATATGCGCGGTACTTATTAGAAAGCGCTCAATATCAGAGATAGAGCTAACGTATTTGGTTGGATAGATGTGAGTTTGTATATATATATATATATATGTGTGTGTGTGTGTGTGTGTGTGTGTGTATGTGTGTGTGTGAT